CATCTGCCTACCACCATTCTTCGTCCGCCTATCAGCCTACTACACATGCAGCCTATCAGACTACTGCACACAACTACTACCCTTCTACAACGCCTATCAGCCTACTACACTGGCTTTATCGTAAGGCTGGCTACTACGAAGACCGTACTACTACACCACAGAAAGTAAGCATTGAAAGCATGCTCCTTTTACCAAGTCCCCGCTCGTATATATATACCATGCATGGTATGCAAGCCGGCGAAATTTGGGTCACTCATGTTTGCCATGCAGCCTGGATCCCTGGATCCCAGGATCCCAAATCTTCATTTGTTTGCAGTAATAAATTCATTGTTTGTCCCAAACCTCTTTGGGTCCATCACAATGCTATAAACATTCAGGTGAACCAAGGATATTGGCAATTACCAGTATCCAATTTATCACTAATTGTAGCCCACGGCGAACACTTTCCAAAAACAAAGAATGAAACAAAACCTTGAAATAATCAATTATTTCAATTTGTTCAGAAAAATCCCAGATCTCTTGGGAAAATGATCTCCAATGACACTGATGTATTCCAGTGATAGTAATCTGAGATACCCTTGGTAGGGAGGATTCCTTGTCGTCCAACAGGCTGCAATTACACGCTGTGAAAGACATGAATCGCTGACTGTCTGTCTCGGCCTGGAGGGTCAACCTGGCACGATACATATTTCAGGATATAAGTAATAAATCTTAAGGTAATAAGGTACGGTCATGTGATCTCAACACGATGATACGTGAACACCAGCTTTCAACGTTACCCCATGGGATCTCGTATCAAAGAAACACATGAATTTTACATGTCCTTCCAGTGTGAGAGAGAGAGCTTTATTCAGCATTTTCTCAGGTGTACAAAAATATCAAATCATTAGTCCTTCCAGTATTGCTTTCCATTGTCATATCCTCCCAGTTTTGCTTCACATTTCGATGTCATCCCAGTATTGCTTCAGAACGTCATGTCCCCCCAGTATCGCTTCACATTGTCATGTCCTCCCAGTATTGCTTCACATTTCGATGTCCTCTCAGTATTGCTTCACATTGTCATGTCCCTCCAGTGTTGCTTCACATTTCGATGTTTTCCCATGCAGTATTGCTTCACATTGTCATGTACTCCCAGTATTGCTTCACATTTCGATGTCATCCCAGTAATGCTTCAGAATGTCATGTCCTCCCAGTATTGCTTCAGAATGTCATGTCCCCCCGTATTGCTTCACATTTCGATGTCATCCCAGTATTGCTTCAGAATGTCATGTCCTCCCAGTATTGCTTCACATTGTCATGTCCCCCCAGTATTGCTTCACATTTCGATGTCATCCCAGTAATGCTTCAGATTGTCATGTCCTCCCAGTATTGCTTCAGAATGTCATGTCCCCCCAGTATTGCTTCACATTTCGATGTCATCCCAGTATTGCTTCAGAATGTCATGTCCTCCCAGTATTACTTCAGAATGTCATGTCCCCACGTATTGCTTCACAAATTTGATGTCATCCCAGTATTGCTTCAGAATGTCATGTCCTCCCAGTATTGCTTCACATTGTCATGTCCTCCCAGTATTGCTTCACATTTCGATGTCATCCCAGTAATGCTTCAGAATGTCATGTCCTCCCAGTATTGCTTCAGAATGCCATGTCCCCCCGTATTGCTTCACATTTCGATGTCATCCCAGTATTGCTTCAGAATGTCATGTCCTCCCAGTATTCAGAATGTCATGTCCCCATTATTGCTTCAGAATGTCATGTCCCCAGTATTGCTTCACATTTCGATGTCATCCCAGTATTGCTTCAGAATGTCATGTCCTCCCAGTATTGCTTCAGAATGTCATGTCCCCCCAGTATTGCTTCACATTTCGATGTCATCCCAGTATTGCTTCAGAATGTCATGTCCTCTCAGTATTGCTTCAGAATGTCATGTCCCCCAGTATTGCTTCACATTTCGATGTCATCCCAGTATTGCTTCAGAATGTCATGTCCTCTCAGTATTGCTTCAGAATGTCATGCCCTCCAGTGTTGCTTCACATTTCGATGTTTTCTCATATCAGTATTGCTTCACATTGTCATGTCCTCCCAGTATTGCTTCACATTGTCATGTCCTCCCAGTATTGCTTCACATTTCGATGTCCTCTCAGTATTGCTTCACATTGTCATGTCCCTCCAGTGTTGCTTCACATTTCGATGTTTTCCCATGCAGTATTGCTTCACATTGTCATGTCCTTCCAGTATTGCTTCACATTGTCATGTCCTCCAAGTATTGCTTCACATTTCGATGTCATCCCAGTATTTCTTCAGAATGTCATGTCCTCTCAGTATTGCTTCAGAATGTCATGTCCCTCCAGTGTTGCTTCACATTTCGATGTTTTCCCATGCAGTATTGCTTCACATTGTCATGTCCTCCCAGTATTGCTTCACATTGTCATGTCCTCCAGTATTGCTTCAGAATGTCATGCAGTATCCTTCACATTGTCATGCTTCAGTATTGCTTCAGAATGTCATGTCCCTCCAGTGTTGCTTCACATTTCGATGTTTTCCCATGCAGTATTTCTTCACATTGTCATGTCATCACAGTATTGCTTCAGAATGTCATGTCCTCCCAGTAATGCTTCAGAATATCATGTCCTCCCAGTATTGCTTCAGACTGAAATATTTTTTAAGCAGCATTTCTGACTGCTATGCCGAACAGACTTCAAAATGAGGGGTTATTTCACTGATGATTAAGAAATTTATGTCAACGTTCCAGTTTCCAAACTAAGGTATGATCGCTTCAAGGCGTCAGAACATGTCCTTATTTCGGGCCAAAACTACGGGAACATCCAACAAATGATTGAACATATTCCAGGCACAAAGTGACGCATTATCTCAACAATGCATCTGAAAGTCATATATCGTTCAAGTTTAAAGTAAGATTTCATAGTATTACCAACAATGTATGAGAATTATGTTGTGTCTACCAGCTACAACATGAAGAATGATCCCAACAATGGTTTAGGATCTTTATACCAGATTCAAACGACGTATGATTACCTCAGTGGTTAGGAACTTATCGCCAATACCCAACATGAACTTACGTCCCTCATGTCTTTCAGGCTTATGCGTTGTTCTCGCAGTGATAACCCGTAAAGGTCCGGGTTAGAATGAACCTTCAGTAACCCATGCTTGTCGTAAGAGGCGACTAACGGGATCGGGTGGTCAGGCTCGCTGACTTGGTTGACACATGTCATCGGTTCCCACTTGCGCAGATCGATGATCATGCTGTTGATCGCTGGATTGTGTGGTCCAGACTCGATTATTTACAGACCGCCGCCATATAGCTGGAATATTGCTGACTGCGGCGTAAAACTAAACTCACTCACTCATTCTCGCAGTGATACGGAATGTCAGATGTTTGTAGGTTTAATTAACGCAATATTAACAAGTTCCTTCTCCAGCCATTTAGTTGTCTTGTACCGGAACCTGTCATCCACACACATCGGTACAGTGTGTGTGGTTGCTGTCAAGGTCAGGGAGTATCTCACCAGTTTGGACGTTTGAGTCAGCAAACATAACACCTTCACTTTCCATACATCGAGAAGCAAATGTTGGAGCACCGTGCCTTCACCGCCACCTGAACATTGTGTCCTGCAACATCCAGACCCTAGTCACAGACAGATTTGTGTTCTCCAGTATCATATCCAGAATATGCTTCATGCAACCCACCCGTATACAGAAGTGCTGCAGACACCCGCAATCAGTGAATGTAAACTGTGACAGCGCCTAGCTCCACGCTCAACAACCACAGCCTGTTGCCGGTCTGCAGGTGGCCTTGTGTGTCGGTAGACCTCACGTCTACGTAACTGTTACGCCGTGCTCCAGATATCGATTCATCCACTCAGAGTGGATAATGGCATAGCTGTTAAACTTGACTGAAATTCGAGTTTCCTTTGAAAGAACGCAGTGTAAATATGTTATGTGGTGAAATGTAGGGCAATATCTGAACACATCCGAGACTGGGTATTTGAAAAAATGATAAAAATATTTCGATTTGTACAAATTTGGAAGCAACTAGACTAATGCTTAGTCTCTGAATATATATAATTTTGATAGTAACAAACAAGCCCATTTAAATTGAAAAGGAGCCCTAGGGAGACAAGAGATTCAGAACCCGGGGAAATCTAGACTTGCTTCGTTTAGGGCTTTAGCACTACAGGGAAAGCTAGGCTGTAGGGAAAATAATGTGGTTCAGGGACTGTGAGACAGACTAGGAAGCAACGTGCGGTTACTTTTACGCCATACAAACAACATGAAATGTACTGACTCGACAGAGTATCGAATAGGAAAGAGAACAATCGACTTCCTTGTTGTAGCTTCCCCTACAATATGACTACAACCGGGCCCAGACGGGTCTATTGAATATGTACACAACTCTAGTTGATCACACAAAAAGGGATGACGGGCAGCACAGATAATATGTAACACTATGTACGTTACCCCATTGTTGAGTGCAGACTGGCACACAATCACGTACATACCATGTTCAATCCTTTATTTAAAGTAGAAAACAATAAGACTGTTTATTTGGATTTTGTCATTTAGATCATAAATCATGTTTGTTTGAAGGTTTGTATATATCATAATGTCCCCAATAACATACACCGCGACATGCCGACATGTTCACCTCTCGGTGTGTGCTTCAGCCAAATACATTACGAGATGTCCAACAATATTTCGGGGAGACCAGTGATAGGCGTGACGTCCACTGAATCCGGCATGTTCTCGCCTCTGTCCGCAACTGTTGTGTACATATATACTCCAGAAGGAAGTGTTTCGTATACAGCGGTTTCCCTGGGTCCGCATGTGGTTTGTACACTGTCCGCTCTCAACTGTCAAGGGCTGGGAAAATCAATTCAGATGTATATGCTGGAGACGTCAATCAAACCGACTGCGCGCATACTGTCATTTGATTGGCTGTGAGATGCGTTACGTCGATTCGTGTGTTACTATGTAGCGTATCTTGGCTTAGAGTAATCCCGCAGACCATGTGTAGAAGCGGCCGGTGTTTTCACCGGAGATCTCTGGGAACACTTTGTACGGTGTTTGACTTGTGTGTGTCAGAGGACGGAACTACCATCTAACACTCTTGCTGACCACAGCATACACTGGATAATTTCTATAGAAGCCAATGTAAGAAGCCAGATGGAGGGGTCAGGAATTTTGTCCGAGAGGGCAGGTCCCACTTCCCCACCCTCGGGCTTGGATATGAGCACCCCAGCGACGGATACCAAGGCTGTTTTCGATGGTGAAACTTTACAGATTGCTTCAGGGATGAATAATTCGGATATTTTACAGATGGAAGAAAACACAATCAGCGATAATAACAATAACAGTCAGTCTATAGCAGCAGACGACACATCCTCGGCAGCAGACGGTATCCGGACCAGCGATGGGCGCTCTCTCAGGGCTCGCTCAAGAAGGTAAGCAAATTTGAAGAGCTTTTAAATAACAAACAGCCCGACTGTTTTGTAGTGACATCGCATCAGGAGTGATCCATTAGGTACATGAGTGTCTTTGTTAAGTTCAGGGCGCACTTCAAAGTGTCACAAGCAGACCGATCCACGACAACCAGCTGATCAAATATCAACCTGACGATTGTTTATGGATTACTGTTCTATAACAAAGTAGGACAATTGATACCAATTTATATCATTATCAATAAGATCATGTAATATCTGACTGACCGACGGAGGGGACAGGTATCTTCATACTACCACAAACTAAAGCTGAGATGAAATCAGCTGCTCGTCTCACTCTCGTGAATATGAACATGAACGTACTACGTATATATATATATACATTGAATTACTTTACATCTGTCATGATGAGTTCGTCAATTCCAACAGAGATCATACCGTCCCCCTGTGCGCTGTACCTCAAGTGCCGTCTGAACGTTAACAAAGGAACACTATGACGCGCCGATCAGCTGATCGTCGGCGGGCACCCGCGCTGTGACCACGGCTGTGAGTCGCTTACCGCAGCCCTGTAAATGTAATAAGGCTGGCTATTCCAATATCATTTGCTTATATTTAACGGTGAAGAATATTTTATGCAGAAATAGGTAATACCCTTCAGCGTTCCATTGTGCCTTATCTTTGATTAAAGGTTGTCAGTTGGTTTCTGAGTAGACCTTTGTGTTGTGTGCATGTTTAGATTAAAATTATGCGCATTTTTGAAAGAAAGGACAAAAGTTTGAGGGAGTGACATGATGTTGGTGGTGGGTGTGGTCATCTAACCTGGACTGCTATGTCACATGTGTCATGTAACATCTAAGTCAGCAGTTGACACATACATTCTTGTATATGTCACAGAACCGTTATGGCTTTCATGATAAGCGAGCAAATACAACGCTGTTGTCAGCCTGCTTGTGAATCATTCGACATTGATCGTCGGCAATGTCGCCCTGTTGACGTAAGCTTAAGTCATGATTCTTTCCTGCACAGAACACAGCCGGAACACATCGTGTTCATGTTCTGTAAATATGACAGGAAAGAAATAACAAAATATTTTTTGCTTTGATTTGAACTTGAAACTTGGCAACTTTCCCACAGCAAAATCGTGTCTTTGTGTAGTGGTGGAGAGACCCCAGCTATCTGCCACGACAGTCATCCTACCATATCAAGTTATATGCTGTTTAACAGTGCTCAACAATGCTTCACTTACTACATACTCTGTTAAAAGCATTTCATTTACCTGACCGACAATATGAAGTTGCCAGTATTGCTTGCCCGTGTGCTCACAATTACAACACCAGTTACGAGAGTGTGTGTTGCCTTGTCAACCTATACTGACAATGTCAGCACATATTCAGTGTTGACAGGATTCACATGGTGACGGGCGTGAGAAAACCGTCGCTTGCTACTTCCACTCATATCGTCATGTATGTGCGTTGCCAGCCGTGACATCGTACAACTATGTCGACATTTATGTCTGTTTACAGAGCAATGGAACATGTGCAACAGAATAAAGTCAGGTTGATAAGCTAACAGTTTGCAGGGACGCTGGGAACTACGGACATGTAGTATATGTCCCATGAGCAGTGTGCATGGTTGTATTCGTATTGAAGAAAGTAATCTTCGTATGCGTCAGGTGACAGCTAGGATTCATTAATCAAAATTACTCAAGTAATGAGGCCACAGAAACCTTCGAGTCCGCAGTATTTTGCTCAATCATCAATGACTGCAGGGTGAGTGAACGACCTCCACCTAAACCGTCTTCCTTGTCACTTCCCATCTGGAACTAAACCCTCTCCTGTAACACCTCCCATCCGGAATTAAACCCTCTCCAGTAACACCTCTCATCCGGAATGAAACCCTCTCCAGTAACACCTCCCATCCGGAATGAAACCCTCTCCAGTAACACCTCTCATCCGGAATGAAACCCTCTCCAGTAACACCTCCCATCCGTAATGAAACCCTCTCCAGTAACACCTCTCATCCGGAATTAAACCCTCTCCTGTAACACCTCCCATCCGGAATTAAACCTCTCATCCAGTCTCCAGTAACACCTCCCATCCGGAATGAAACCCTCTCCAGTAACACCTCCCATCCGAATGAAATGAAACCCTCTCTCCAGTAACACCTCTCATCCGGAATGAAACCCTCTCCAGTAACACCTCTCATCCGTAATGAAACCCTCTCCAGTAACACCTCCCATCCGGAATTAAACCCTCTCCAGTAACACCTCTCATCCGGAATTAAACCCTCTCCTGTAACACCTCCCATCCGGAATTAAACCCTCGCCTGTAACACCTCCCATCCGGAATTAAACCCTCGCCTGTAACACCTCCCATCCGGAATTAAACCCTCGCCTGTAACACCTCCCATCCGGAATTAAACCCTTCCGGAATTAAACCCTCGCCTGTAACACCTCCCATCCGGAATTAAACCCTCGCCTGTAACACCTCCATCCGGAATTAAACCCTCGCCTGTAACACCTCCCATCCGGAATTTAACCCTCTTCTTTACATTTGTCCCATCCAGAATTAAACCATCCCCTTTACACACCTCCAATCCGGAATTAAACCCTCTCCTTTGCACACCTCAAATCCAAACTTAAACGCTCTCCTTTATAACCTCCCATCGAGAATTAAACCTTCTCCTTTACACACCTCCATCGATAATTAAACCCTCTCCTTTACACACCTCAATCCAGAATTAAACCCTCTCCTTTATACACCTCCCATCTTGAATCATATATGGTATTCTGTACATGTGTCGTGCATGAAATGAAATGTACTACATATTACAGCGATCCAGCTGCCTGCCCCACTGACTTCTACATCCACCTTGACTGTCCTTCATGAAATGAAACAGTTTGATTGAATAGTTGTTCATGGACAAATGAATGTCCAACCACGAATCAATATTTAAATCATACTGAGGAAACATCCCATCCTTTTTAATCAAGCAAGCAAATGTAATGTCCAACATGATCAATGACTATAACAATGTCAAAAGCAATGAATTACTTCATTATTACCTATTACAATCACGAGATCCATACCGATATTAAATGAGCCGTTTATTCTGGTCCAAGTAGGTTTTGATCTGTTCATGGCCCTTGCTTCATCGATCCGCTCCCTGAGCCGTCAGAGAGATAGACACATTCAGGCAGGAGCATTGTACTGTGAAGCAGATAGTGGAGCTTAATTCACTGTACTCGGAATGTAGTTGTCACAACGTGTCCATTTCTTTGTAGAGACAATGGATCGCTGTATGGCGAAGAATATATACATCGTTTACATCATTTGGAAAATACACCCCACGGCTGAATCAGCGTGGATGATGTGTCGCTGGGTGAGATTGTGTTGTTGTATGATGTATGTATGATGTGGATGTATGGAGTCAAGCTGTAGACCGTATACACAGAAAGTAGTAATTAGTTGTGGCCAGTAGTTAATGTACCAGCCTGCCGTGTCCCCGCACTCGTGCCACAGCTGCCTGGATGTACATGTACAGTGAAGTGGGTCTTCCTCAAGAATCAACTTCAGTTTTATGACAGATGTACTATATACACAACCACGAATGTCACTACAGACTAACACTAACACACTGATGATTCAAGCAGCTGTTTACACAAAGCAGACGGTTCTTGCCTTGTACTATCCCATGGGCTATTTGGGGTTCGATCTCGCTTGCAAGTGCTTCACTCAAAGTGAACCTAAGTAATGATGTTGACGAAGGTGTTCACTAAGTATATGATGTGGCGTTCTCTGATCCATGTGTACCTGGCAATGGTTTTGACTGTGTCTCCAGCTAGAGTGCTGTTCACTGGGTGTAAGTTATGGCGTTCATCTCTAATTCCCTGTGTACCTGGCAATGGTTTTGACTATGTCTCCAGCTAGAGTGTTGTTCACTGGGTGTAAGTTATGGCGTTCATCTCTAATTCCCTGTGTACATGGCAATGGTTTTGACTATGTCTCCAGCTAGAGTGTTGTTCACTGGGTGTAAGTTATGGCGTTCATCTCTAATTCCCTGTGTACCTGGCAATAGTTTTGACTATGTCTCCAGCTAGAGTGTTGTTCATTGGGTGTAAGTTATGGCGTTCATCTCTAATTCCCTGCATACATGGCAATGGTTTTGACTATGTCTCCAGCTAGAGCGTTTTTCACTGGGTGTAAGTTATGGCGTCCATCTCTAATTCCCTGCATACATGGCAATGGTTTTGACTATGTCTCCAGCTAGAGCGTTGTTAACTGGTTTTAAGTGCAGGTGTCGTGGTTAAGTGTAAACTATACTAGGTGTTGTTTAAAGCGATTATTATGGCCGTTGTCATGTTTCGTGTGCTGTTTCCGGTGTTCAGTCGGCGACTATAACGGTAATTTAGATTGCATGTGTCATTTTAGTGTGGTGTTCGCGAGGGTTTAGGTTTTGTGGCCAGTCCTTGACTGCGTTGTAATGAATGATTATGATTGAACCTGTTTAGTACTAGCGATGTCAGATGGTGTTCACCTGTTCAGGATTCAGAAGGTGAGAGCAGCGTGTAGATGTAGTACAGACGAGCGTACGCTGGAAAGGAGACTGTCATGAATGCGCAGTTCTCAGTAATCAGGAGTATGAAAAGGGGTTTGGGGTCGGGAGTGTTCGTCCTATAGTTTAACGATCATTAAGTGCCCTGTTCGGGGCTTGGCCTTGCGAGGGGCAGAAAGGGAGAGCTGGGGTAAGTCATGGTTATCTGAGACGTGTTACGAGGCGACCCTCACTTGAAGGTTCTGTACTTATGCTCATGGTATGACATGAGGATGGTATTCTAATACGGCACCACCTTTCATATATCTCTATAATTAATATCCGATATTGAACGTTACAATGTCGCCCAGACTGGTACAGGGAAGACGAAAAGGGCAGGGGTAAGAAGCCATTCTTGTCAAATGCTGTCAAAGTCTGTGAGAGGCTGCTCGTGTAAAGGTTCGCCGGAA